CAGCGCTGCTCAGCGACCATCAGTGACACACAAAGCCTTGCTAAGGGTCTAAGCGTCACCTGTGCAGGGTCAGCCGTTCCCATGTACGAAAGTGGCGTGTAGCTCACTCGCAAGCAGGAAGGCACAGAGAAAGCTACAGTACCAAGAATTTTCATGACGCTTTGAAGCAAGGCGGCGCAAAGCTCCTGTTAAGCTCTGTCCATCGCCCCAGCTGTCGCATCTCACTCTTGAGCAGCCGCGGCTTTGCGCTTCATTTGCCCCAAGGCTATTCGCAATGCGCTCAGCAAGAGTTCCTGACCAGACTCCCTAAGGGTCCATGTATCTATAAATAGTACATACTTAGCCCTGAAAGAGGTTGCCCCAAGTATATGCTTTATAGGTACAGTACATGGACCCTGAGGGACTGCATATGACGGTCGTGCAGGTCCAACTGCTCCACCACAAAACAGATCCAGCATCAGTTGTGCCTCCCTGGAGCACAGCCCATTGGTGAGGTAGGAGTGTGGATCCTGGCTGTTGGGCAGCTCTTTACATGGTGGTCCCATCTAAACACTTGTGGGGGTTCCTATTTCTCATATAAACCGGAGCTTGTTTCTGTTTCGGGTCTCCCTGATATATATATATATGTATATATATACATATATATATATATATATATGCATATGATGTAGTAAACTTGTCACAGTCCTGCGGGTGGACAGGGTTCGTCGGCCTCGACTGGTTTGCTGCTCTGGCAACCTGACAGTGCACCCTAAAGCCTAAACCTGGTGTGTGTGTGTGTGTATCGGTTTAGGGTTTAGGGTTTAGGGTTTAGGGTTTAGGTGTGTGTGTGTGTGTGTGTGGGTATGGGTGTGTGGTTGGTGTTGATGCGCGGAGCACAAGCAAGGAGTGGCAGATGTCTCCATGACCACACGGGAAGGAGGCTCTGCAAGGTTCAAGAAGAAGTCTATGACAGCAAGAAAGGCTGGGTTCTTGCTGAAGACAAAATCCCAAAACAATGGCCTTTCTTCTGGCAACCAATGGGAAATGCTTGCTATGGTAGCTTAATTTGAATTAATTTCCACAACAAGATCCCAGCAGAGATGGTCATGCTTTTGGGGCCTCGCTTCCAGCAGTTTTGGTGAAGTTGCTCGCTTTGGCGACGGCGAGCGCGTCTCCGGGCATCTGCCAGACAGTTTGGGGTTCTGTTCGGTAGGCATAAGGTTTAATTCGGGTCTGGGGTTTAGGGTTCAATTCGTTGCTGTTCTCAAGGACCCTTCTCAGAGGCAGAGAGTGTCAGTAAACACGTCAGTGAACACCGGGAGGTATTTACCAAGTAATGAAATCAGAACCTGATATGAAGTCGGGCGTTAGCATCCCCAGAAGGGCACAAATTATTTACAACCCTGTATACACTCACCAACAACAAACCATTTCTGAACCCTGTTTCGTATGGCCTGATGCCACTGATGCCACTACTGTCAGCGTTCCCCTGCCGTAGGGTCCAGGCAACTCGAGGTCAGGCCTGGAACCCATCAAAGCCGTATAGGATCTCTACACAAGCCCCACTATCAACCAACGCAAACGCAAGAGACACCCCCAAACCCTAAACCCTAAACCCTAAACCCTAAACCCTAAGCCCTAAACTCTAAACCCTAAACCCTAAACCCTGAACCCTAACCCTAAACCCTAAACCCTAAACCACGAGAACCTCAGCTGCTGCAAAGGACCTCCACACCCGCAGAGTGAGCCAGGGACCTTTGCCCTGTCGCGTCCTGCGGCGCAGGGTGCGCTCGGCATCATATATGTTTTTTAAAGTGGCAATGTGAAGGTTACTTAAACCCTAAACCCTAAACCCTAAACCCCAAGCTCCAAACCCTAAACCCTAAACCCTAAACCCTCAAGCTTGCAAAGCCGGGACGTTTGGGCTCTAGGGCTCGGGGTCTAGGATCCAAGGTTTCGGGTTCCCCTCGCCTCGATGGCAACCCAAGCCAAATCGAAGCCTGCAGCAACTGCCGCGGCTCTGGGGGTTCGCGTCATATGAAGCAGGGTTTATATTTCTTGTACCCCCAAAAGGACACCCAATATATACACTCACCAATATTGAAAAGGAACCTTATATACACTCACCAAAAACAGAAATTTAAACCCTGCTTCATATGGGCTTGGGGTTGAATTAGGGCTTTTGTGGGTTTAGGGTTTACAACTTTAGGGTTCAGGGTTTAAACAGGCCCTTACGACTCTCTGAAAAAGATTCCTGAATATGATCCTCTTGAACCCAACAAGGGAAATGTGAACTGACCCAAAGGCCTAGCTAGTTTAGGTTTACAGAGTTACCCTAAATCTAAACCCTAACCCTAAACCGTAAACCCTGAACCCTAAACCTTAAGCCCTAAGCCCTAACCCCTAAACCATAAACCCTAAACCCCGGAGTACGAGTTTGAGACGCGGGGCGCACCAAACAAGGCTTCAGTGTCTCCGAGGCAGCGGCACAACATCTCTCCGCGGTCGCCCGGAACCTTTCTGATCGACTGAACCGCTCTCTAGACATGGTACATGTAGGGTTTAGGGTTTAGGGTTTAGGGTTTAGGGTTTAGGGTTTAGGGCAGAACCTGGCTCAACTCCCCTTCTGCTGGGCCTCGAAGACCCCATTCTCCATTGCGACGTACAGGTCGGCCGAGGGTGCTTTCAATCTGGCCTTACAACTCTTGCCGCTGGCCTAAACCCTAACGCCCTAAAGCCCTAAAGCCCCAAAGTCTGCGCGCTTAGCAGCTGGCATCGGCGAGTCGGTTCAAGGCACCCCGGATCGTTTCCTGTTGAAAGGATACGCACAGAATTGTACATAATGTCGTACATCATATGGTATATAGTCGTGGCTACAATATTGCATACAACATTGTATATAGTATTGTATATAAGATTGTATATAACAGCGCATATTATGATATGGGGGTTTACGAAAATAGGGGGCCTCTAATAGAGTCCCCCCCAAATAGCATAGGATGTCCTTATATGTAAGGACCCCCAAGAAGCCCCCCCCCCCCCCAATTTCATCCAATTTCGGAAACCCCATATTGCATACAATGTTTCATATACGATTGTATACAACATCGTATATAATAGTAATAGTAAATATAATAACTTCTAACAATAATCATAGTCAGAATAATACTTACTAATAATATTGCATACAAAATAACTAAGGGTCCATGTACCTATATGGTATATATTTGGGCCCTAAAGCTACTCTATGGGAACCCCTTCAAGGCTCAAGTGTATACCATTTAGGTACATGGACCCTTAGGATATATAACATCGTATGTACTACTAATAATGATTAATAATAGTAATCATGACAGAATACTACCTCTACTAATTAATATTGCATACAACATGTACATGAACAAGGGAGAGCTCTCGATCAGGGCCTCATGACCGAAAGGCTGGTCGTTGACGCCGCTCGCGGCGTTCACTCCCTGGACGTTGGCCGCGTCCTGGGCTGAAGACCAACGTAGGGTTTAGGGTTTAGGGTTTAGGGTTTAGGGTTTAGGGTTTAGGGTTTAGGGTTTAGGGTTTAGGGATACCGGTCCGTTCTCTAAATTGTTGTTCCCTCTTTGGGTGCCCTAAATAAGAGGGGCCGCCTTAGAATAAGGACCCCCAAAAGGGACCAGAATGTTAGAGAGTGACCACATGCATGGCGTAGGCCCTGTGCCCTGAATACCTACTTGGAGGTTCATGGGTACTGCCCCAATTATTCCTGTATACTTATAAGCCCCAACAGTCCTCTGAATAGGTTATAAAGTAGATTGGGGTTGAACGTACCCATGAACCTCCAAGTACACATGCAAGAAGCACCTGAGCAGTCTGCCACAAGCTTCTTCACCGCCGCCACCTGTCATGCACAGGCCGAAGACGGCAACCACGCTGAGGGTGGCAACATTGTGCGCGTGGTCTTAGGGTAGTTCTCTAAATTCGGGGTCCTTTTTGGGCTCAAAAAAATATAGTACGGCACCCTTCAAAAAAGGGACCCTCATTTAGAGAACTACGCTTGGTGCTTCAGCCTTCATGTGCGCGGTTGAGGCAACGACTACCTGGGCAGCTCTGCAGAAGGAGGGAGCCACCGGGGAGCTGTCCGCGAAAACCGGCCTGCTTCACGGGGGAATCACCTTGGTTCGGCCATGCAGGGCTGGAACCTCAAACCCTTAGCCCTAAACCCTAATCCCGAAACCCTAAACCCTATAGACCCCCTAGACCCAAAAGACCCTATAAACCCTATAGACCCCAAACCTTAAGCCTAAACCCTAAACCCTCTGCGCTCCAAAACCGTATAAACCATGGTTTAGCTGAAAACCCACATGCTGAAACCCTGAAGCACTACAACACGCCCTGAAACCCCGAAACCCTCAAACCCTAGTAGAGCCTAAAGGTCAGCAGCCACCAAACCCTAAAACCCCCCAAAACCCTAAACCCTGAAAACTCCTGAGCCCCCAAGTACGCCTAAACCCTAATCCTAAACCCTAAACCCTAAACCCTAAACCCCAAACCCTAAACCCTATAGAACCCCCCGAGACAGAGCCCGGGCTCGGCACCGGGTATGGAGGCTGTCTCCATGGCGCTGCGGCAGAGTGCTAAGCGGACTACACACAGAGGGCACGGAAATATCCGCTAGGATGGCCCCTAAAACCCTGTGAAAAAAGGGTTTAGGGTTTAGGGTTTAGGGTTTTGGGTTTAGGGGAACATGACCCTCTTAGAGCCCAGAAGGGAGAAAATAAGATGTCCCAAGGGTTCTTGAATATGACCCTCTTACACCCAATAAGGGGAAATATAACATGTCCCAAGGCCTACCTAGACCTTCTGCGAAAGAAGTGACTCACGACGAAAGCCAGAGCATAGAATCCTCGTTCTGCGATTTGCTTCAGAGAGCCCTAAACCCTATCCTTCTGTGAAGTCATTCTACACCATGAAAGGAGAGTGTGAGGATTCCTCAAAATGCGATTTGACTCAGAGAGCCCTCAACCCTAAACCCTAAACCCTAAACTCTAAATCCGAAACCCTAACCCTAAGAAACCCTAAATCCTAAACCCTAAAGGGTTCTGGGGCCCTCTGGGTGCTTCATACCTTAGATTGCTTGCCGACAGTGAGCCGTGGCTGCAGAGGATGCGCTCTGGTACTTAATTAAGCCAACAAGGTTTAGGGTTTAGGGTTTAGGGTTTAGGGTTTAGGGTTTAGGGTTTAGGGTTTAGGGTTTAGGGTTCATGGTACTTCATAACCAACTCTAGCTGTACTCATAACCCACTTCTAAGCATTTGTTCAGTGCCCTAATATGGTTATGTCCAGCAAGCATGCGCGTGGAATGGACTGAAGCTCAAGCACGGGAACGCCCAGAATCCCTAAACCCTAAACCCTAAACCCTAAACCCTAAACCCTAAAACCTAAACCCTAAAGCAGCCCAGGCCTGGTCCGGATCTTTGTGAAGGTCCCCTCCTTCATTCAAAGGCGGATCTGGGCTGCTCGCCTCTTTGGAGCCGGCGGCCTGCGCATGATCCACACAGGCCAGAAGCTCTGTGCGCGTATATACTTAGACCTGACATGATCTATCTATATATATATATACATACATATATATGTATACATTTATACTTGAAAACAATATATATATATATGTGGTGTATCCACAACTAAATATACACACATGTACACACGTAGTTTAACGCTATAAGCCCAAGCCCGAAACCCCCGGTTAGAAAGGTTGTCTGAAAGGACTGAGCTGTCTCCTAGTGACAAGCAGCTCGGGGTTAGAGTTTAGGCTTAGTCCTGATTTCGGCTTCATACCTTATAAGCGCAATCTAGGGATTATTATTCTATCCTCCTCTCACTCCTCGTTGAAAGGGTCTTGAAAAAGGCTCGTAGCGAAGAATCTCCTTTTGAGCATCCGGCGCTCTCTGCTCCAAGCTTGCCGGCGGCTCCTTCAGCCCCATCTGCCATGATGGAGGTTGCTGGCAGCTGCTTCCTCTTGAATTTTGGATCCACGTCAGGGTTCAGGGTCTGAGGGTTTGGGTTGCATTCGTTTCATGCATGCTGGCTTCATTCGGGCTTTCAAGCCTCAACCTCGCTGACTTCTGCAGTCGGGAGCTCTTCACAGGGGTACTTCATGTGCGTCTTGAGTCTTGAGTATCACATGTAGGCCGTGTCATCTTGTCTAATTCAGTGAGACATACTCTACCTGATTGAGCTTAAAGGAGAAGCGGCGCAGGTACTGTCATTTGCAACTGCAAGCTGTAGGCAAAACTGGCAAGGCACGAGACTTTCCATAACCCGGCAGGATACAAATGAGCTCTTCAAAGGACCTGGTGGCTGGCGTCCCTTCAGCCGCCAGAGCTACGAGGGTCGAGGGCGGCATGCCGCAGGCTGCCACCGAGCAACCTGCTGGTTCGGGGTCGCTTGATTCGACCTTGAGGCCATCTGGGGCGAAGACCTCAGAGCGACTTCAGGAAATTTCAAGGACCAGAGTGGACCCATGGCACTGAAGCCGAGTCCGAGCCAGGCTTTGCATGTCCGCCTCCGCCTCACCAGATCGGAACCCCGGCCAGCGCACTGGCAGCAAGTACACTCAGGCCCATGAGCAGCACGGCGCCGAGATTCAATACGAAGTAGGTCAAGGCAACTGCCAGCTTCTTCCCTATGCCGAACTTCTCCATGGCCCAGTCAAAGCACTTGTTCACCCTGGGCGTCACGAATCCGACCACAATCAGCTTCGCGGGGCGGAGCACGTTGTTGAACACGTACAGCCTATACCGAACTTGGAACCCTGGCAAAAATTATGTTTTTGGCTGTTTCTTAGGATGTATAGCAACCAAAAATAAAACTATTGCCCAGTACCCCTAAGCAGCGTGGCGTAGGTAGAAAGGAAGACGGGCCACTGGTGTGTTGGAGAGATGCGCGTCCGTGCTGCCACAAGGTACCATGCCCCAGCAAACAAGGGGATGTAGTTCACATTGGACACCACCTAGGGGACCAGATGGACCCTAAAAGGGGGTGTAGGGTTTAGGGTTTAGGGCTTAGGGCTTAGGGTTCATATGCCCTCAGTAGGGATTCTAGTAGCATAGGGTATAAGGGATAGGACCCCGCAACTCTAGGGCTCAGTTGCCAGGATGGGCTACTAAGCCTTAAAATTCCCATCATGAACCCTATAAAGGGCCTGTTAAGGGATTATAGGGTACGATAGCCCTAAACCCTAAACCCTAAACCCTAAACCCTAAACCCTAAACCCTAAACCCTAAACCCTAAACCCTAAACCCTAAACCCTAAACCTCTCTTTCTATATATATATATATATATGTATATAAACCCTAATGGGTTTCGTGGGCAAAGGCACAAAAATTCGTGGGCAAGGCACAAAAATTCGTGGGCAAGGCACAACAATTCGTGGGCAAGGCACAACAATTCGTGGGCAAGGCACGTTTCGGATTTTTGGGCCCTTGGGCAAGGCTTAAAACCCAAAAATGTGCCTTGTCCACGAATTTTTGTGCCTTGCCCACGAATTTTGTGCCTTGCCCACGAATATTTGTGCCTTTGCGCACGAAATTTTGTGCCTTGCCCACGAATTTTCGGGCACACAAATTGGTGGCAAGGCACAAAAATTCGTGGGCAAGGCACAAAAATTCGTGGGCAAGGCACACAAATTCGTGGGCAAGGCACCGAAATTCGTGGGCAAGGCACAAAAATTGGTGGGCAAGGCACCAAAATTCGTGGGCAAGGCACCGAAATTCGTGGGCAAGGCACAAAAACTCGTGGGCAAGGCACAAAAACTCGTGGGCAAGGCAGTGGCCCCTCCCCCCCCATCCCACCCCTTAAAACCCCAAAATGTGCCTTGCCCACGAATTTTGCGCCTTGCCCGCGAATATTTGTGCCTTTGCCCACGAAATTTTGTGCCTTGCCCACGAATCTTCGGGCACACAAATTGGTGGCAAGGCACAAAAATTCGTGGGCAAGGCACAAAAATTCGTGGGCAAGGCACCGAAATTCGTGGGCAATGCACAAAAATTGGTGGGCAAGGCACCAAAATTCGTGGGCAAGGCACAAAAATTGGTGGGCAAGGCACAAAAATTCGTGGGCAAGGCACAAAAATTCGTGGGCAAGGCACAAAAATTCGTGGGCAAGGCACCGAAATTCGTGGGCAATGCACAAAAATTGGTGGGCAAGGCACCAAAATTCGTGGGCAAGGCACAAAAATTGGTGGGCAAGGCACAAGAATTCGTGGGCAAGGCACAAAAATTCGTGGGCAAGGCACAAAAAATCGTGGGCAAGGGCACCCCAACTTTTGTATGAAGATACTTTTTGGTTTCTTAATGTTATGGGATTCTCTGGGTGGGTGGGTGTTATATCCGAGCCGTAAATCTGCTCGATCCGCAGCTGCTGAACCCTAAGCCCTAAACCCTGTAAAGTTCCCTTAGGGCAAGGCACGCCATAGCTCAAGACGCCGGCGGTGCCCATCGACGCGAAGCGCTTTCGGTTCTCGGCGTCGCTGAGCCAGAGCCGGATCTTCCTGGGGTTTAGTGTTTAGGGTTTAGGGTTCAGGGTTTAGGGTTTAGGGTTCAAGGTTATCTACCTGCTTGGAGGTTCATGGTACTTTTTGACCAATTACAACCCACTAATAAGCCGCTTAAGTGCTCTGATGTGGTTATAAGTAAGTTATAAGTATAAGTACCATGAACCTCCTAGTACAGTTTAGTAGCAACTGCCCCTTGCTTAGTAAAACCATTATAAACTGTCGCCATAAACAGAGGCCCAGGCTCTTCCATCTGGAGGGTGAGGAGGGTGTCTCTTCTGAGTTCTCCGCCCTCAAAGCACCCGGCATCCGTGGCTGGTGTCCATGGCCGTCTGCCCGAACTCTGCAAGAGGGCCGCGGAAAGGGTGCAGCGCTTCCTGACGTTTAGGGTTTAGGGTTTAGGGTTTAGGGTTTAGGGTTTAGGGTTTAGGGTTTAGGGTTTAGGGTTTAGGGTTTAGGGTTTAGGGAGAACTAAAACGTTGAGGAACTCTGCTGCATCCTAGTGCCGCAGCATGCCCTTATACCTAGGGGTTTTACCTTGGACAGTTGGAGTTTTACCATTGCTTAAAGGAATATAAGGGCCATATTAGGAGTTCAGGGGAACCTTGAAGGGTACAACCTTAGGGGTGCGAGTCCTAATCCCTTCCTGATTATACCCACACCCCGAAGACCTAAACCCTAAACCCTAAACCCTATAAACCCCGAAGCCCTAAACACTCAAAACCCCGCCTGCGAAGGCTCCCCGGGTTGATGGCAGCGACAGGAGGCTGACCGCGAGGAGTGCCAGTTGAAGGGCCTGGAGGGAGGTTTAGGGTTCAGGGTTCAGGGTTCAGGGTTCAGGGTTCAGGGGTTTAGGGTTTAGGAGATAGGATTCTTAATCTTCCCAAAAGCCCTGTCACAAGAGGTCTCCTGGCCAGGTCGCTGGAGTGCCGCAGGAAGCACCCCCCCTTCCCCCCCATGCATTGAATTCCGCAAGGGTCCCGCACCCTAAACCCTAAACCCTAAACCCTACACCCTAAACCCTAAACCCTAAACCCTAAACCGCCGAGTATCCCTGGACTGCTTACCCCCAGAGAATTCCGCGGAGAGTGCCACTTCGGAAGTCTGTGGCGGCGTATCCTTACTTGGAGGGTTATGGTACTTATTAACCAAATAAGAACCGCACTTATAACTTATAACCCAATTATAACCACATTAAGGCACTTAAGGGGCTTAGAAGTGGGGTATAAGTACCGTTGGAAATGGCTAATAAGTACACTGAACCCTTCAAGGATAATTGCCTGTACGAGAACGGTAGGATGGCTCCCACATCGCATAGCTGTAGGGCGGGGATGATCGAATTTAGGATGTTGGATTTATAGGGCTTCGGGATGTTCAGTGTTTGGGGGGAGGAGGGGGGTCCAAGCTTTGTCTTTAAGGGCCTGCAGGCTCTTGGCTCCTGTTGTTGAGTTCAGAGCATCAGCGTTTAGGCTCATAGCTTCTGATCGGCCTTCTGTAGTCTATGGGCGCAGCGCCGCGGCAGCGCGCCCGGCAGGCGGCCCATCAGGGAACGAAACGCCGCGCCCAGTCGGGAAGCTGGGCTTCAGGACGCGTGGAGCCCACTTTTGCGTCGTGGGCATGTCAAAGGCAAAAAGGCTTAGGGCTTTAACAAGGGTTTGTAGGGGGGTTTTGTAGGGTCTACCTAAAGGCTCCTATGTAGTACCTGTAAAAATCCCCTAAAACTACCCCAAAAAGGAACTAGATTGGGGCCTTCAGGTAGGGTCTTAGAGGAATCAGCAGGCTTCTGGGGCTTAGAGGCTCGAAGCCGAATCCTTGAAGTTAGCAGGCCGATGGATAGGGGCAGCGCTGGCTCCTGCGAACCTCGGGGGCTTAGGGCTATTTAGGGTTTGGGGTTTATAGGGTTTAGGGTTTAGGCTCAATGAACCCCAAATTTAGGTTCATGAACCCGTTTTTCAGAGAACTGACCATACGGACCGCAAACCATTTTTGAGGTTCGGTTAGTCCACCAGGAAGCACCCTAAACCCTATAAACCCTATAAACCCTATAAACCCTATAAACCCTATAAACCCTATAAACCCTATAAACCCTATAAACCCTATAAACCCTAAACCATCAAAGCTCTTTTGCCACTCATCTGGCGGATCGGATCTGCGACGCAGCGTGCCGGACTGCTGGCCTGAATTCCGCTCTTGCTTGGAGTGTATGGGTTTAGGGTTTAGGGTTTATAGGGTTTATAGGGTTTATAGGGTTTATAGGGTTTATAGGGTTTATAGGGTTTAGAGGGTTTAGAGGGTTTAGAGGGTTTAGAGGGTTTAGAGGGTTTAGAGGGTTTAGGTTTAGGGTTTAGGGTTTTGCTTGGAGTGTGTATGGGGTGTATAGGCTTGCTTCCCAGAAAGCCCCCAAACCCGTTTATAATTCAGGAAGTATCCTTAAGTCACGAGAGAGTTCCTAAGGGGGTTTGGGGCCCAAAACCCTAAACCCTAAACCCATAAACGCCAAACCCATACACCCGAAACCTTATAACCCATAACCCCATAACCCTATAACCCTATAACCCTATAACCCTATAACCCTATAACCCTATAACCCTATAACCCTATAACCCTATAACCCTAAACCCCTAAGGTCCTGTCCAGAAGGCCACCAGGTGCTGAGGGCTTTTGGGGGCACGGCAGTGACATCTCTGCGCCAAGAGCGCACAGATTGGCAAAGTGCTTGGGTTGCAAGAACCTGGCAAAGGTCTAAGGTTTAGGGTTTAGGGTTTCGGGTTGATGGTTTAGGGTTTCGGGTTTCGGGTTTAGGGTTCATGGCTTGTAGGGGCTTGCGTCTTGGTGTTGAGGTGGTACCAGTAGCGTCAATCTGGGGGTGTCAGGGTTCAGGTAGAATTCTATTTGTGCATGCTTCATGAGGCAACTCAGCTTGTTCTTCGGTTACACTTGGTTCCAGTTCCCCTGACCCTGAACCCTAAACCCTAAACCCCAAACCCTAAACCCCAAATCCTAAACCCAAAACCCTAACCCTAAACCCTAAATCCCAAACCCTAAACCACATGGCGCGAGCCGCTGGTTGCCGGTGCCGAAGTCCGGAAACCGACGGCCACATCGCCGCAGACTTAGCAGGGACGAGGGCGTAGCTTAAACACTTTCCAGTGTTCCCTATACCCGACCTGAAGGCTCCAATGTAGTTCCTTTTGGGGTAGTTAAAAGGAATCTTAGTACACTACCCTAAAAGGTACTACATAGGAGCCCGTAGGTATACATTCATACACACGCATGTGTTTACAACAAACGGATGTATACATGCTGTGTGTATATATATGTAGATACGTACATACATGTTGTACATATAATGTATACATACACGTTATCTGAATACATAGATATATACACACATACAGACATGTTTTTGTCTTTGTAAGAGTCTTTTCCATGCCAGGGCCCCCTTGCCCGCAGCAGCTGCCCTCGCAGCATACGCCATCCATGTCGCGTCGATATCTCCCGCCGCGCGGGGACGTCGAAGCCTGGAAGGAGTCCCAGTCTTTGCAGCATACTTGGAGGTTCATGGTACGTACTAACCTAATAAGAACTGTACTTGTAGCCCACTTTTTAACCCTATTCGGGCACTTAAGGAGCTTATAAGTGGGTTCTAAGTGCAGTTTCAATTGGTTAAATTTGTGATTAAGTACCATGAACCTCCAAGTAGGGCTCGCGGAGCTGCGAAGGCGGGAGGGAGGGAGGGTTGCTTCCCTCACAAGCAAGGGAGAGGACTTTTCCCGGAGTGCTAGCAAAGATGTCCATCTGAAGTGAAGAACCCTGCAAGGACCTTCAAGACTTCCTGAAAGTCTGCAGTGTCCCTAAACCGCGAACCCCTTGAGCCCAAAACCCAAAACCCCATAAGCCCAAAACCCTCTTCCCTGGGATCGTATACTAGCAGTCCTCAGAGGGATTGCAATAGGGGGAACTATAATCCCTAATTTCTAAGGACTCTTAGTATGAGGGGGTATACACCCGAACCGATGCTCTCCCTAAACCCTAAACCCTAAACCCTCAACCCTAAACCCTAAACCCTCAACCCTCTGCCCTCTAAACGCGGAAAACCTTACAAGCTCTGCGCCCCAGGATGCCTCCTCCATGGTCTGCGCTTCCAAAAGGCGCCTGGAGGCAAATCTTATCTTATCTTACCTTGTCCTATCTTATATATATAGGTATGTATATATAATTGTATATATATATATACACATATGTATACATATATATATATACATATATATATATACATATATATACATATATATCCATATGTATGTAGTTATTTATGTATTAATCTATATTTATATGATATGTGATTATATTATATATATATATATATACACACAAGAGGGAACTATACCGTCATACAATGTATATATATATACACACATCCACAGCTCGTCTATTCATATACCACACGACACTGTACCATGCCATAATATACATAATGATATACATATATGAAAAATATACACACGTGGCATACGGCATATGCGCATGCGCATAAATTACCTCTTTGTTGTGACAAACGCAACCACTTACAAGCCCCTTAAGTGCCCTGATAGGGTCATGATTGGGTTTTATAAGTACAGTTCCTAAACCCTAAACCCTAAACCCTAAACCCTAAACCCTAAACACAATTTAAATAGAAGCACCATGAACCTCCAAGTACGCGCAAAGATCCGGCCTGGAGTCTGGTCCCCAACCCTGCGGTCGCGAAGGCCTGGCGGGGGAGACCTGCCAAGCAAGGGTTTAGGGTTTAGGGTTTAGGGTTTAGGGCTTAGGGCTTAGGGCTTAGGGGTTAGGGTTTAGGGTTTAGGGTTTAGGGTTTAGGGTTTAGGGTTTAGGGTTTAGGGTTTAGGGTTTAGGGTTTAGGGTTTAGGGTTTAGTTGGAGCTTCATGGTACTTATTAGCACAATAAAACTGTACATATCACCCAACTAGAACCATAAGGGGGCTTGTAAGTGGGTTATAAGTACAGCTCTAATTGGTTTATAAGTACCATGAACCTCCAAGTATGGGTGAGGGTTTCGGGGTTCTTAGGGATCTTAGAGGTCTTACGCATCGTCGGGGTCTCAGGGCTCTTCGGGATGTTTGGGCCCTTAGGGGTATTAGGGTTCTTATGGTTCTTGGGGCTATGAAGGAGTTTGAGGGTTTATAGGGCTCCGAAATCCTAAAAAATCCTAAAACACCCTAAACCCTAAACCCTAAACCCTAGACCCTAAACCCTAGACCCTAAACCCTAAACCCTCCAAAAGGGGAGCAACAGAACAGGCAACCCCAGGAGGGCTGCATCACAAGAGTCTATGAAAGACGGGCACCTGCTGTAGTAAGTCAAGTGGCGCGGGAATCCGGGTCTGATAGGGTTTTAGGGTTTTAGGGTTTAGGGTTTAGGGTTTAGGGTATAGGGTATAGGGTTTAGGGTTTTAGGGTGAGAGATGTTGAGACTTGAGCTTGGCGGAGACTTGCAGGGCTTGGGGTGAGTTCTGAACACTAAGCCGCTTGTCTGCGCATGGCGTGCAGCCAGCTCGAGGGCCAACTCAGCCGTGACACGGCGCGACGATTTAGGGTCTGGGGTTTAGCCCTTGAGACCCTAAACCATTGCAACTGCTTATGACAAGCAATGCAACCTTACAACGAAACAATCCTTGCAAAGCCCGAAAACTACTCTAAATCCATACATATTACATAGACGATAGATCCTATATCCCTAAAATACTGTGAGTCCTAAACCCTTATAAACCCTAAACCCTAAAAACCTTGAAGCCCCATGAGCCCTATGACATAAGCCACAAACAGGGAACTCCTGTGAGCCTGTGAGCCCTAAACCCCAAAAGCACCCTCAAACCTTGTGATCCCTGAACTTCAAGACCCTAAACCCTAAACCCTAAACCCTAAACCCTAAGGGAGAGCCTGGCTGTGTGAGCGGAAGGCGCTACCTCTTGGCATCTCGGGCTCTTGCAGGAGCTCCTCCCTGAGAGCGCTTCGAGCTGTCTGGAGTCTGGGGGGGGGGGGGTTTAGGGTTTAGGGTTTAGGGTTTAGGGTTTAGGGTTTAGGGTTTAGGGTTTAGGGTTTAGGGTTTAGGGTTTAGGGTTTAGGGTTTAGGGTTTAGGGTTTAGGGTTTAGGGTAGGCTTTAGGGTTTTAGGGTTTAGGGTTTTAGGGTTTTAGGGTTTAGGGTTTAGGGTTTTAGGGTTTTAGGGTTTAGCGGTTTAGGGTTTACAGTACTGTACTTGGATGTTCATGGGTAGCTGTCGGTAGATATGGGCATTTCCCAAAGTAGAGGTGCCCCTTTTACAGAGCAAATAGAACAGAATCCCCTTAAAAAGACCCCCTCAAAAAAGGGTACCCCCAATTTTCGGATCCTCCCAGGGGTCTGGGGGAGTACTTGGAGGAAAAAGGTACATAATTATCAAGTATAACTGTACTTATAACCCCGTAAGTGCCCTAATCTGGTCATTAATGGGTGATAAGTACAGTTCCTTAACCCTAAACCCTAAACCCTCAACCTAAACCCGTGGTTTTAGGGTTAATAAGTACCCTGAACCTCCAAGTATGGCAGTTACCTAAACCCTAAACCCTAAACCCCCCCCATATACAGGAGCAAGGCAATTGGGCTCTCTGGACAACTTAGTGCCCGGCTTCTGCAAGATGGGCCGCTCCTCCGCAGCATCGCCATCGGCCTGCATCAAACAAGTCTAGGGTCCTAAACCCTAAACCCTAAACCCTAAACCTTAAACCCAAAACCCTAAACCCTAAACCCGAAACCCCAACTGGGGTGCCCTTGTCTGGGGGTCTCAAAAAATGTAATACTTGCGGGAAAATGTCCCACCTTGGGGACCAGATGGACCCTGAAAGGGCTTATGGTTCATACACATGAAAAGGGATTGCTAGTTAAGTATATAGGGTATACAAGGAGGGGCCCCCAAGTTATAAGTAGAGTTATAAGGACCCTAAATTAGGTTGTAAGGATCCAAAATTAGGTTATAAGTCCCTTAACTATAGTTGGTATAGTAAGGGGGCCCCTCCCTGTATGACCCAACTTTAGGGTTCATGTGGTCCTCAAGGTAGGCAACAAGTTGTCACAGGCAGGCTGGCACCAGGCGCATGCGGATGTAGAGCAGCTCGCCCTCTGCCACTGAGGGGGCCTGCGCACAAAGGGGGTTTAGGGTTTAGGGTTTCGGGTTTAGGGTTTAGGCTTTCTGGGTTGAAGACATCTTCTTGTGCTGCCCGCTTTTGGCACGCGGGGCGTGTCAATTGAGCCACCTCGCCACTGGGCAGGTTCTCGTACTTGATCCCGAGGCGGAGGTATGAACAATGGCCTTGGGCTGTCAATCTTGGGGACCAAATGGACCGTAAACGGGTTCATGGTTCGTATACCTTAATCGGCATTATAGTAGTATAGGGTATAGGACCCCCCCACTTTATGGTTCATTTGGTCCTCAAGGAATGTGACGATGAACTCTGAATGTTGGAAGCGCGGGGACTAAGGCTCCATCCCTTGCGCACGTCAGCCATTGCCAGCTGCACATCGCGCCTGGACTGCTTTTGCGCCAGAGATGAAAGGTGCAATGCACCTGCTTCTGGCTGGTTCTTAATGAGGGAATCAGGGGCCCTATACAATCCCTTAAAGGGCCCTACATAACCCCTTCAAGGGTATACATAGGGCCCATCATTCCCTCATTCCCTACTAAGAACCAAATGGGGTTAACCTTAAACCCTAAACCCTAAACCCAAAGAACCAGAGGGGCTCGCCTCGGATCGTCCATGTCGAAGAAGGAGCAGAGTCGCTCCTCACATTGCTCGGACCGGTCACTACTTGCGAACTGTTCTAGTTTAGGGTTTAGGGTTTAGGGTTTAGGGTATAGGATAGTTTAGGGTTTAGGGTTTAGGGTTTAGGGTTTAGGGTTTAGGGTTTAGGGTTTAGGGTTTAGGGTTTAGGGTTTAGGGTTTAGGTCACGTGTGTCTCAACCCGGCTTCCTCTCTGGCAAGTTCGATCGTGTCCAGCAGCGCTCGCAAGGTCACGTTCATGTCCTCCAGGACAAGGAGACAACTTGAACCATCTTAATTACGAAACTCTGGGCAACCCAATCGTCGCAAAGCACACAGCCAATCAGTACCCACATGCTGCAGCAACGCAAGCATCTCAGCCCCGAACCATTTACTGTTGCTGAAGGCCCGGCAACAAAGGCTTTCGGGTTCATTGCTAGGATTCCGGGTTCAGGCGCTTCCGACTTAGAACTTCTTCGGCAGTTAGGATAAGAAATAGCAATAAGAAGAAGAAGAATCCGATTAACAACAGCAATAATCATGTGATAGTAAGAATACGATATGAACAATACTTATAGTCACACCTTCGTTTTCACGGCCAAAGCTCCTCACAAGCGTCAGAGCAGATGATGAGCGGCATGCGCCTACCATGGCCACCGTGGGAGGTTCATGGTACTTATGAAGCCAGGGTTTAGGGTTTAGGGTTTAGGGTTTAGCGTTGGAGGATCCCTCAAAGTGCATGACGCGATGCGGCCCCCTCCCCCCCCCCCCCCTTCTGCCCTGCAGTTTAGAGAGTGAGGTGACATTGTTCATCACATACATACAATTATACATATAATATTTACACAATATCTTGCATAACATAACCCAATACAGCTTTAAATTTAAGATTTGAAATCTTCAAAGATAAGCAACACAGTACAGCAACATTCGTACCTACATTCCTAGACATACGCACATGCTGCAGAGTTATTCCAAACATGGCATGCGGACCTTCGCAGCAACATCAGCACGCCCAGGCACTCGATGAGCCCCCCATCCGAAAGGTAAACGTACGGCGGAGGCCGCGGAGCCTGCAACTCGAAAATAATCCCCTCAGTCCGTTTGAGTAGTTCTCTAAATGAGGGTCCCTTGTGGGGTCCTTTCTTGAAGGTGCCTGTGCTATGTAAGGGGATCCCCAAAAAAGGGTCCCTATTTTGGAGAACCACTCTTTGTCAAAGTTTAGATTTCGGAGTATAACTCAGCCAGGCAAAATCGCCGGATGCAGGGGAGGACAAGAGAGTTGGCGCCTGATGGCGATGCATGAACATCATCTGAAACTGCAGAATCAGTGGGCTTCGCATCAGCCACCTGTCAGGATGGCTCCATGATGGTATGGGGTTTAGGGTTTGGGGGTTTTACAGGTGCCTACAGAGCTGCCAAAAAGAGCCTCTGATATCCCTTACTTCATAAAAGCTAAATACCAATCTACGTAAGTGGTCTGAACTATACCCTTTCCGTGCGAACTTCGTGTCACTTCGCGCCTCATCTGTGGAGCAAAGGCGAAGAAGCTGAGCGCCAACCTCACAATTCTGCCCTATAGGAGGAGTCGGGGTTCCTTCACACACATAAGACACCTGAGGGCGCCGCACAATGACGAAACCCGACAAGCCAATCTGAAAGACAGGCAGAGACAGAATCGCTTGCCTCACCTTCCGCTGGCTGGTTCTTAGTAGGGAATCAGGGAATGAGGGCCCAACAATTATCCTTTAAGGGACTATCAAGGGCCCTCATTCCCTAAGAGCCAGGGGGGTTCCCCGGCAGTTAGACCCAAGGCCTGGAGGACAATGCCGTAGGAGACGCAGTCGCCCGACATGCCCAGCTGTTTGCCCAGCACCAAGAGGATGTGGCAGCCAATGAAGGGCAAGGCCACCTCGGATCGGTATGACTATCTACCACCTGAACTCAGGAGATCCCAATATGGACCCCAAAAAAGGGCAGAATGAATATGCCCCTGAAAGGGATCTACCAAGTCTCAAGGAGTGAGTATAAGAATGCTACAAGAGAGAGCCAACCAGGGATTTTGAAGAGCCCAAGGTCCTCGCAATGGCGCGGTCAAGCATTCGCTGGGCGACATACTGCGCAGTCTGCCTCGGTTTTCTTCCCACGGCCACGGGAATCTCAATGGGTCGGTGCTCGAAATTTAAGGCTCCGTTTTTTTTGGGGGGGGAGGGGGTCCTTAAACCATAGTTAACACCAAACCCACAATGAAAGTCAGGAGTCCCCCACTTCCCTTCACCTGATCTGAGGGCGCCGCCCATGTTGTTCGGCATGGGAGACGTTGGAGCTGTGAACAGCTGCCTTGGCAACTTCTCGGGTGGCTTAGGATTTGGTGCCCAAAACCCCAACCCTAAACCCTAAACCCTATAAACCCTAAACCCTAAACCCTGGTTTGGGCGATGAGCTTAGGGTTCAGCAGCTCCAGTCCGGGACGTCGCTCGTCGAGCAGTTAGTGTCGACACAGAATAAAACCCCCACTCGCCCAAGGAATCCCATGACAATTGAGAACCTACAAGGCTTGTTCTCTTCACTCCATGTCTCCACCAATCCCAATCGCCTGAGCTGTAACTTGAGCTTGGGGTTCATCGTTTCGAGCTAAACCCCTAAATCCTAGCCCTAAACCCTGTAAACCCGAAACCCTGCAACCCTGAACCCTGCAAGCCCTACACTGTGAACCCTACACCCCCAACCCCAAACAGGGGCAAGTCCAACCAGGATGGGCGATTAGGTCTTAAACTCCCCATAAGACCAAAAAAAGGATTATAGGGCATAATAGCTATAAAGGGCCTTTTAAGGGATCATAGAGTAAAATAGCTATGAAGGGCCTTTTAAGGGATTATAGAGTATAATAGCTATAAAGGGCTTTTGAAGGGATTATGGAGTATAATAAGCTAGAAAGGACCTTGTAAGGGACTCTAGGGTATAATGGCTATACAGGACCTTGTAAGGGACTCTAGTGTGTAATGGCTATAGAGGACCTTGTAAGGGTTTCTAGGGTATGAAAGCGATAAAGGGCCTTTTAAGGGACTCTAGGGTATCATGGCTATAAAGGGCCTTTTAAGGGATTATAGAGTAGAATAGCTACAGAGGGCCTTTTAAGGGATTATAGAGTATACTAAGCTATAAAGGGCCTTTTAAGGGATTCTAGAGTATACTAAGCTATAAAGGGCCTTTTAAGGGATTATAGAGTCTACTAGGGGTAGATAGAGCCCATCCTGGAAGCTGGCCTCCTCCAGCCTGCGGACCGCTGTTCCCACCTGCGAGGCGCGCAGCGGAGCCGCCGGAGCGTTGGGCTGAAGGTTGAGGGGGCCACGGAGAGGAAGCCCTTTAAAAGCCCTAGAAGAACCTAAAAGCCCTAGAAGCCCCTAAAAGCCGTAAAAGCCTTCTAAAAGCCCTAAACTAAACCCTAAACCCCCTAAATCCTTAACCCATTCAGGGAAGTTTATAGAGAGGGTAAAGGCCGAAAAGCCCTAAACCCCCTAAACCCCCTAAGCCCCCTAAACCTTAACCCATTCAGGAAGTTTATAGAGAGGGTTTTGGTAACCCCCTAAACCCCCTAAACCCTAAACCCAAAACCCATTCAGGGAAGTTTATAGAGAGGGTTTTGGAAGACTGGGCACCTTGATGGCCACTTTTCCATCGGGCTCCAGCCGGACCTGGGACCGAGCATTAAAGAGGCTCCAGGTAAGGTTTAGGGTTTAGGGTTTAGGGTTTAGGGTTTAGGGTTTAGGGTTTAGGGTTTAGGGTTTAGGGTTAGGGTTTAGGGTTTAGGGTTTAGGGTTTAGGGTTTAGGGTTTAGGGTTTAGGGTTTAGGGTTTAGGGTTTAGGGTTTAGGGTTTAGGGTTTAGGGTTTAGGGTTTAGGGTTTAGGGTTTAGGGTTTAGGGTTTAGGGTTTAGGGTTTAGGGTTTAAGGTTCAGGGTTCAGGGTTTAGGGTTTAGGGTTTCGGGTTTCGGGCTTATAAGGTTTAGGGTTCAGGGTTTAGGGAGACGATGTAGGGGGTTGACCTGAGTTATGGGCGGCCTCTTTTCCTGTGTCTCTCTTTCAATATACACCTCCATGTCTTCTTCAGGGCGCAGCAACAGGGCCCCATCATGTGATTGATCCCGCACGTCCGGTTGAGAACTCCCTGCAGCGAAGTCGCAAAGTCACCCAAACGAAGCGAGAAGACGGAAAGAACAAAGCGGATGGGAAGCACCTGGGTTTAGGGTTTAGGGTTTAGGGTTTAGGGTTGTTGTCGGGTCAACCCTGAACCCTAATCCTTGAACTCCCTGATCCCTAAGCCCCTCAACCCTAAACCCACCACAAGCGGCCTTAGGATCCTCAATCCCCCTTACACGAACAGTCCTTCATAGGGACTATAGTAGGAAACCCTAAACCCTAAACCCTAAACCCTAAACCCTAAACCCTAAACCCTAAACCCTAAACCCTAAACCCTAAACCCTAGCCATAAAGGGGGGGCGGGGGGGGGGGGGGGGGGGGGGGGGGGGGGGGGGGGGGGGGGGGTGCGGCACGTCAAACTTGGTCAGCATGAAGGTGTCAGGCGCCGCCTTGAGCTCCAGGGTTTCTATAGAGCTTTAGGGCATTTTCAGGGACTTTCGGGTTATGGGAGTTCAGGGTTTCGGGCTTTTGGTAGGTTTGAGGTGGTTTTGGGTTATTTGTGGTCTAGTGGTTTTTGGGCTCAGGGTTTTCGGGGTGGTTTGGGGGTTTGGGCGGGCAGGCTTTTCGGTGGTTGAGGTTGAGGGCTGGGGTATCTAGGGTCTAAGACCTAGTTGGTATGGTTTAGTTCATCGTGGTTTGGGGTTTATAAACCCTAAACACCTAAAACCCTACACCCTAAATACTAAAACCTTAAACCCTAAACACCAAAACCTAAACCCAAAATACTAAAACCCTAAACCCTAAACACCTAAACCCCTCAACCCAAGATACTAAAACCCTAAACCCTAAACACCTAAAACCCAATAAACCCTAACCCACTACAGGGTCTAGGATGGTTTGGGCTTGAGGCTCTAGGGTGGTGCAGGTGCCCGAAACCGTAATAACCCCGTAGTTGAACCCCAAACCCTTTCACCAGTTTAGGGTTTAGGGTTTAGGGTTTAGGGTTTTGGGTTTAGGGCTTCTCTAAACCCCAAACAGGCGAGCCCCTTAATTAAAGTTTAGGTTTAGGGTGGGAGGTCCAGGGTTTAGGGTTTGTGGTTTATAGGGTCCAGGGTTTGGGCTCGGAGTTTCCGCCAGGCACGCTCTCTCTCTCTCTTCCCCACTTTGCGGCAGATGCGTCAATTTCTCATTAATAAAAGTTCATAAGGGATACGAGAGGGACCCTTAACTAGAAGGCCCTGAAACTTCTTCCGTGATTTCTCCCCTATCTATATATGCCTTCTATCATAGTCCCGATATACCTAAGCAGCCCCTCCGTTTTCCCTAAGGTCCATTATAAGGGTCCCTCATTTGCCCTAAACCCTAAACCCTAAACCCTAAACCCTGTGAGGAGGGTCTCGGGTTGTGACTTCACAGCTTTGGGGACTCGCGCGATGCGGCTCTGAGTGGCATGCGGCTGAAACCGACATCGCATAGCCCAGCCTTGCACCACAAGTAGGGCTTGGGGTTTAGGGTTTAGGGTTTAGGGTTTAGGTTTGAGGAATCATGGTAGGGTTGAGGCCTTAGGCTTCAGGAACTAGGGTTCAGGGGTTGGGGTGCAGGGTTGAGGGTTGAGGGCTTAAGGTTCAGGGTTTAGGGATCCTCATGTAGAGCAACGCCCAACCAAGATCGACCCAGAGAGCCCTAATACCTTTTTTGAAAGCAATCGACCTTAAGCAATACCTATAGCGATCCTTATTCTTAGGGGTCTCTAAAGCCTAAACCCTAAACCCTTAACCATAAACCCTAAACCCTAAACTCCAATTAAGGGATATGGGGCTCTCAAGGGTACCCATGTGCGGGAGTCACAGGTCCGCAGCTTTTGCCTCATCCCAGAGTCCGTACAAAAGAAACCTGCGCCAGGGCACAAGCAGCGGCTTTGCAAAGGCTCCAGTGCCCCCGAAGTAAGGAATACCTCCAAAGGGTTTAGGGTTATGTACGTGTGTATATATATACTAAATATATTATGAATGGTGATGATGATGATGAGGATGATGAGGATGATGAGAATTATGATGATGAGAATATGACCTAATTACGGAGCCTTGGAGGCTCTGGGTTTTGTGGGCCAGGTGGGGCGGACACACGGCAGCCGCTCCGGCGCCTGTGCGAGGACAGCCAAGGTAGAGAGGGCTGAGCGTGAAATCGCAGAGGAGCTTCTCCTACAAACGGGTGACAAGTAGGGTTTAGGGTTTAGGGTTTGCCTCTTGACAAGTGTCCTCCTGAGGTGTTCTGAAGTCATTAACGCATGCCCCCAATAGGAGGTGGGGACAGTATGGACCTCGATGTTGCGGATACTGCTGCGGAGACTTCTGGGCACTGTGGGGAAGAAGTCCGCCGGGGCCCGGGCACTCTGCTGTGGCTGTGAAGTCGATGTCTTCACCATCACAGAAGTAGGCCAACTGGCAGTGGCCAAGAAACACTGTAGCCTCTCGACTTTACTTGCCCCAGTGCACATCAGCTCAGCCGAACCTGTAAAGAACGACGGTAGTAGGAGTGCATGAGCTTTATTAGCATATCCTTGGCGGCGCGCACAACATGATCACACGCTGCTTGAGATCAGGCTCCCTGCGGCCCTGGCATACACTGGAAGCGTTAGCACGGCACCGAGTATGCAAAGGTGGAACACCTCAGCATGTCATTTGCAAATATGACTTCTGTGCAATCACTAAACCCTGAACCCTAAACCTTAACCCTAAACCCCAAACCCTAAGGGCTGCACCCACGAGCTGTCGGTCTCTGTGTAGCGCCTGGCAAGTCCCCTTTTGCTGTGGGCTCAGGGTTTACAGGCTACAGGGCTTCAGGGCTTTAGGGTTTAGTGTTCATAGGCTACAGGGCTTTTAGGGTTTACAGGGTGTACTTGGAGGTTCATGGTAGTTATTGAACAATTATAACTGTACTTATGACCCGCTTATAAACCCCTTAAGTGCCCTAATATGGTTATAATTGGGTTATAAGTGCAGTGATAATTGGGTTAATGACTACCCTGAACCTCCAACTAGAGCTTGTAGGGCTTATAAGGTGTAGGTTGTTTGTGCCCTTTCACCCTTCCTCGAGAACTCTGGCATCCCCGAAATCCCTTTACTCCTGACTCCCAAAACAACTAAACCCTAAACCCGAAACCCTGAACCCTGAACCCTGAACCCTAAACCCTAAACCCTAAACCCTAAACCTGAAAAAACACCGTGACGCCCTATTGTCGCGGCAACCAGGTCAGGAACGCAGCAGCCCGGGAGCGATCAAGGCCTGGGAGGTGGGACTCGCCAGTCTCTGAGGGTTTATTGGGTGTAGGGTTTTAGGGTTTAGCGTTTCGGGTTTCGGACTTTAGGATTTAGGGTTTAGAGGTTTAGGGTGTAGGGTTTAGAGTTTTAGGGTTTTGAGCTTCAGGGTTTAGAGCTTTGCAGTAGGGTAGGGTTTAGGGTGTAGAGGTTTAGGGTTTAGAGGTTTAGGGTAGGGCTTATAGGGTTTAGAGGTTTAGAGGTTTATTGGCCTGGTAGTCCGGTAACCTTATTATTGTGGGCTTGGTTAGTCTTAAGAGAGCCTTGAACCCCAACAAAGGGGCCAAAAGGGCACCGCTGGGCTACCAAGTTGGGTTTCAGGGTTACATAGGGTTTTGGGGTGTGAGGGCTTAGGGCTCAGCAAATGCTTGATTTGCTTGCGCTGAGGGTCTAGTATACGCTCAACCCTAAAGCTTAAAGCCTAAACCCCCAAAAACCCTAAAAACCCTAAACCCTACAAACCCTAACCCCCCCCCCCAACTTACATCTCGATTTTCGCTCTTTTCATCGATCGTCTTTATTTTGAGCAACTTCAAGAGAAGGAGGGAGTTCTAAAGCATTCTACAAACGTCACAATTCAATTACAAACGACGCCTTGTCTAGTTTTCGATTTCCCAAGTTCCCGAGATTATTGGATTTCGTAAAAGCCGAAAGAAGATGATAAAATGGAATTGTGCTGGAGGTACTGCGCCCGATTGTATGAAATGCCGACATTGTCTCGATATAGACGTTCCGATCAAAGAATCTCCGCGTCCATCGATTTATTCATGCAGACTATGGTTTTTCAAGACCCTGTTGTTCAATGTGCGATTCTTGGTGGTATCCGACGCCATTTCCCCCCGCCCCCTGCAAGCCCGGGAGGGGCTCAATATAGGGAATTCGGGAACGCGGTTCATTGTATTCTCCAATACAACCCCTTCGAGCCTTTGAAGTTACCTGAGAAGCCTAACCCCCTGACCCCTACCTCAACCTCAAACGCTAGAATCCCTGGGTCCCCCTCCCCAAACCCTAAACCCTGTAAGCCCTAAACCCTATAAACCCTAAACCCTAAACCCTACTACAATCCCCCCCACCCCCCCGCCCCCCTCAAGGCAGCCACCTGCCCCGTGAGTGGGCCGAAGATTTGCCACTGCGCCACCTCTTTTTGATGGAGGCTTTCAGGGTTTAGGGTTTAGGCTTTAGGGTTCAGGGTTTAGGGCGAAGAAGGCTCTGGCTGGTGTAGGGTTTAAGGGACCCGCCTAAACCCTAACCCCACAACCCTCGAAACCCTGCAACCCTGGAAACCCCGAACCCCTGGAACCCCAAAACCCAAAAAACCAAAAACCCAATAACCCCTATAGAGCCCTTGAAACCACCTAGCGCCCTAACATCCCCTACACCCCAAGATCCTACATCCTAACACCCCCCTCAAGCCCCTGGAAGCCTAAACCCCCCAAAACCCTACAGCCGAACCTCCAAGTAGGGCTTGGAGGTTCATGGGTACTTGTAACCGTAACTATAAGTCTACTTATGACCTACTTGGGGGACTTAGGGGGCTTCTAAGTGCAGTGATAATTGGGGTTATGCAAGTAGACAGTCCTTTCAGCTCAGCCGTTCAGCCCTAGGCGTGCCTGGGCAACGAAGAAAGCACTCCACAGTGGCCCAGCCACTGTGAGGTACCTGACTCCCAGTGAGTCCCTAAACCTAAACCCTTAAACCCTAAACCCTAAACCCTAACCCCTAACCCCTAAACCCTAAACCCTAAACCCTAAACCCTAAACCCTAACGATCCACACAGGCACCTCGAACCTCTTGGCTCTCCGATTTCAACCCTCTTTTACACAAGGATCCCTAGAAGTATGATCCTCTTAAACCCAGAATAACCCTTTAAGCCCTCTGAGAAAGATTCCTAAGTTCAATATCTTAAACCCAACAAGGGAATAACATAAAGCGTTCCGACGGCCTGCCTGGAAACCCAATAAGGGTAAAGCATAACCGATTTTCCAAGGTACTGCCTGGCCCTAGAACTTCTAAATCGCTTGGGGGTTTTGGAGCTTGCGGTTTGTAAGCCCCGTAGGAAAGCCTGATAACCTTAGGGTTTAGGGTTTTCGGGGCTGAGCGCTTCGGGTTTGTAAACCTCTATGAAGCCTTATAACCCCTAAACACACACACACATCCTTAAGTCCTTCAGGTTGAGGGTTTAGGGTTTAGGGCTTACAATCCTTAAACACCCCTATATGCCCTAAGCCCTATCGGAAGAATCCTAAGGTACAAGGAGGGAGGAAGTGTCCGTAGGGTTAAGTACAAAGGCTTCCGGAGCGTTCTACATACTCACATACTTAGTTTTATGTATATGCGTCGTCGCCTCGATATATGGGTTTTCATTGTTTCTCGTCTATACCACAACCCTAAACCCTAAACCCCAAACCCAAAACCCGAAACCCCAAACCATCTACATCCTAAACCCTAAATCCCCAGAAGGCTCCCTCTTGGAAAGCAGGTTGGCGAGTTTTTGAAAACAAACCGCCGGCGGGGCCATCGCAGCAGAGACAGCCCGAAGAGCAGGCCCACCCTTGTCGCACGGAGGTGTAGGGTTTAGGGTTTAGGGTTTCGGGCTAGGTTTCTGGGGTTTATAAGGTTATGGGGTGGATGGGTTTAGAGGGTTAGGGTTGGTTTAGGGTTTATGAGGGTTACAGGGTTTATAGGCTTTAGGGTTAGGGTTTAGCGTTCATAGGGTTTGTAAGGGTTACAGGGTTTATAGTTTTTACAGGGTTGTAAGGCTATAGGGTTTATAGGTTTATAGGGTTTATAGGGTTATAGCGTTTATGCGGTCTAGGCGAAATAAATATAGGGTTATAGAGCTGCTAGAGTTATAGGGCTATAGGGTTTCGAGCTTAGGTTTTTGGGGTTTGCAGAGGGGTCTCGGGCAAGTCAAAGTGTTTACGAATAGGGTTTGGGGTCCCAAGTCCCTGACGAGCACCTAAGCATGCTCTCGCGACTGGAGCGAAAGCTGCCTAGGAATCCATAGCCCCCCCCCCCCCCCCCCCCCTCCAAAAAAAAAAACAAGAAAAATAGATAGAGAAACAAATCGGGTTTTTTGGTGCACCCTCTATAAACGGGAACGGGGGCCGGCTGGGGGTTAGGGTGGGCAGGGTCGAGGGTTTGAGGGGAATCTGGACAAGCCTTGAAGCTTGAGCTCAGTTGTCCAGTAACCTGGGGGAATTAAAGGTTAACCTTTTGGATTATAAGGGGATTCTATTACCCTAAAAAGTAAAAAAACAAGGTTAAAGGTTACCTACTCTACTACTAGGTGAGGGTGTAAGGTTTCCAGTCCCTCTGAAGGATCCGAGGCCGCTTAGCCACCGAAACACTACACGGAAAGAATATGCTAAAGCGGCTGTCGTGGGCTAAACCCTAAACCCTAAACCCTAAACCCTAAACCCTAAACCCTAAACCCTAAACCCTAAACCCTAAACCCTAAACCCTAAACCTAAACCCTAAACCCTAAACCCTAAACCCTAAACCCTAAACTAAACCCTAACCCTAAACCCTGAAGCCTAAGGCCCAAAATCTTCGCGGGCAAGGTCCAAATCTTCGTGGCAAGGCTCGGGGCCCAAACCCTAAAGCAGCAGTCCGTTCTTTGAGGCGGGCGTTTTAAGGCCGAAGGTTTAGGGTTTAGGGTTTAGGGTTTGGGGTTTAGGGTTTAGGGTTTAGGGTTTAGGCAGTCTCAGGAGTGGACAGCCCCGCTGCCAGGACGATACCATTGATCGCCAGAAACCTGGCTCGGTTTCCAATCCGAGGCCACAACTCAACCAGTGTAGAATGGGTTTAGGGTTTTGGGTTTACAGTAGGGTTCAGGGTTTAGGGTTCAGGGTTTAGAGCTTAGGGCTTAAACTGTCGTTCATTAGACCCCCTCTTCCAAGTACATGGTTTCTAATCGGTGTGCCTCATGAAAATCAAGCACACCCACCCACCCCCCCCCCCCCCCCCCCAAACAGGCCAAAAAACAAAACGCCCCAGTACCATTCTTGTTCGTGCCATCATTGTTGCTAAACTTACAGATTGTTGTTGCGAACCCTAAACCCTAAACCCTAAACGGCTTCACAACAAGGAGGGCAGCACATTGGCGTTGTGTACCCCGTGGCGCCACAGGGATCAACGCCTCAGCGGGGGCGCTTCGTTGATTTCAGAGTTTAGGGTTTAGGGTTTAGGGTATAGGGTATAGGGTTTAGGGTTTAGGGTAAAAGGCTTCAGGCTTTCGAGGGTCTCGGCTTCAGCCCACAGGCCCCCCCCCCCCGAGTGTAACATTCTGCCCCATAGCCTATAAACCTTCAAAAGAACGGCACGTGCAGGAAATGATTCTTTTTGTGGCATGGGTCCTCCACCGGAGTATACGACAACCTTGTGGACGAAATGAACCCTGAAAGGGTTTATGGTTCATATACCTTAATAGGAATTATAGTAGTATAGGGTATATGACCCAAATTTTGGGGTTCATTTGGTCCTCCAGGAATGAGTCCAGGCCTGCTTGCCGATTCCCCGCACCTTTCTTCTCACGCAGAGAGCCGGTAGTCAGTGAGCCTCCTCCCATCAAACGGAACAGACTGCGGCTTCTTTACTGGGTTGGCCTTTGTACCTTTGAAAGCTTGGGGTCCCTTCTAAGCACAAAAAAAAGGAGAATATGAAAATATCCAAATAAAAAAAAATATATATATATGCAGAAAAGGCCAACCTTGTTTAGGGATGACTGGCAAATCTGGCAAAGCAATGGTGGTTGCCGACTGCCGCTCGCCAAAGGTCCACATCAAAAGGCGCAAACTACACAAGACCGCTGAGTAGCCCAGCGCCTGTGGATGTAATGTAGCAACACGCCCCAGTCTTAGGGTTTAGGAGATTAGGGGATTAGGGTTTAGGGCTCAGGGAAGTTCAGGGTTCGTACAGGGTTTGGTGACGCTCTTTGGATGCTTTCAAAGTGACTTGCGCGATTTGATCAGATGCGAACCCTAATTAACCCTAAACCCTATACGAACCCTAAAACCTAAACTGCTCCCTGAAACTCTAAGTCGGAGTTTCTTAGGTATCCAGTATCCTAGGGGAATTAAAGGTTGGCCTTTGGGATTCTGGGACTGGAGATCATGTTACCCCAAATCACGTTAGGGTTTACCTACTCTACTACGAAGGTTTATGCGAGAAGAGATGACACTCGTTTGCACAGTCGTATATACCAATATACTACAATGTCTACGCGCTAAGGCCATGAATGGCTCGAGCATGTTGCCGTCTCAAAGTGCTTGAGAGCAGAAAGTACGGTCCCCGCAGCGCAAGATGTTCATGCGGCAAAGGGACCACGAACAGCCAACGACAGTCGACAAACAGGAAAGGGTTTAGGGTTTAGGGTTTAGGGTTTAGGGTTTAGGGTTTAGGGTTTAGGGTTTAGGGTTTAGGGTTTAGGGTTTAGGGTTTAGGGTTTAGGGTTTAGGGTTTAGGGTTTAGGGTTTCACAGACATCATGAACCCCTGTGCCTGCTTCCATTCAACTCGCCAAAAACAGCTTTAGCGGCTCAAGGAGACTGGGTTCGTGCTCTGAAAGGGTTTAGGGTAAAGGGTTTAGGGTTTAGGGTTTAGGGTTTGGGGTTTAGGGTTTAGGGTTTAGGGTTGCAGAAGCAGGCGCAATAGTCTGTGACAGGCAAGGATTTGCCTTCCTGGTCTTTGGCCCGAGAGTAGTGGCAACCTTCGAAGTAACTTCACCTGTATCACCCAGAGACTCCAAAACCCCTTAATTAAGGAATATACCTTAAATTATAATAGGAACCCTAATATGATTTAAGGTATATTCCTTAATTAAGGGGTTTTGGAGTCTCTGGGCACTGACGATATTCTGACGATAAGCCGAACTATTCTCATAACTTACAGGGTAGCTTAGGGGAAGTATGAGCGGTGGTCATGACCATACTGGTGTAAGGTGGTACACTGTTACAAGAAGGTTTATGCCCCAGACCTCCAAGTATTGATGTTCCGCCAATAGCGGCCATGGACACGCAGTGTCCGATGAAAATGTCCCGTTCAATTGGTACTGTACGTACCCCCTGGCCCAAGCTGTACACCCAATGACCCCTTGCATTCAGTGTACATCGCTTGGGCTGACCCTCTGCTCCAGGCAGCCTCGACTCATTCGCTCGACGCCGGTAGGAAAAGCAGGCGCAGTCGCTCCAAGGCGGCCAGGAGGTCGGCGCTGGGGCTGGGCATGGCGTTCCCATCTCGGTTGGCGGGCTGGTATGCCACCAGGCCGATCAGGTTGGAGACGTTCATCCGCGCAAGCGTCTTGTGGAGGTTGCGGAGGTCGCGGTCCGCTACGACCTGGGCCACCGGCCGTGCACCTTCGGACTCTTGCGACATCATACCCAGGAGCTCCCTGGCCTCTTCACAGAAGCCTCCCTGCTTGGCTTTGTTCCGGCAGAAGTGAAGCACCAGCTCGAGCAGCTGTGCCCGGCTGAGGCGTTGCATGATGCCTCGTTGCCTCTTGTCCAACTTTGGCATCTTCTCCGTGTGCTCCATGTGGCAGTAGGCACATGCCTGGCCATGCTCGCAGTACCCGGCGATGAAGTAGACACACGGGCGCCGGCACACCTCCGGGTGTCCGAGGCTGCCTTGGCTGGGCAGCGGAAAGAACTCCGCCAAGACGGAAGTGGGCTCAAGGCCGTCTTGGCCCTGAGGGCCGTCTTGGCCCTCAGGGCTATCTTGGCCCTGAGGGCTATAGCCGCGCGCTGTGGTGGGTGCTTCGCGCTGCTGGAGCTGATTCGTTAGGTCGGAAGTTTTCTGGGAGAGCGTGCCCACGTAGCTGCGCAGTTCCTCCTCCTCGCTGGCGAACTCCAGGCTGAAGCTGATGCGGCGCACGCGTTCCGGCGGCGAGCTTTGCGCACGAGCCTTGCCGGAACTGCCCGCCATGTCCTCGAACTCCTCCTTCACGTCAATAAAAGTGCGCTTGTACTCGAGCTCCATGGCCATGGCAGGGAAACAAACGCCTGACTTGCTTTCGAGTCGGGCTTTTTACCATAAACCGGCTTGCCGGTCAACAGCAGCGGTGTGCAACTCTAAACCCGAAACAGCCTGCAGATTGAACTTGCAACCCGGTATAAACACTAGTATACACCTTCCCACCCTAAACCCTATAACTACCAAACCCTAAACCCTAAACCCTAAACCCCAACCTTCCTGCTCAGGTTCTTGCCACTGGGGCTTCCGATCTTGTGCGAGGCCACCCAGGTTGCATTCATGTACAAGCTGTTCTCGCCATGAAAGTACCTCCGAATCTGGTTCAGGGTTTAGGGTTTAGGGTTTAGGGTTTAGGGTTTAGGGTTTAGGGTGTAGGGTTTAGGGTTTAGGGTTTAGGGTTTAGGGTTTAGGGTTTAGGGTTTAGGGTTTAGGGTTTAGGGTTTAGGGTTTAGGGTTTAGGCCTAAGGCCCCAAACCGACACACTCGCAGCACACAGAGCTACCTGAGCCCTAAACCCTAAACCCTAAACCCTAAACCAGCTCCCTGAGCTGGCCAAGGCAGGTCGTTCGAAGTCTCGAAGTCTACGCAGGTGGGCGATGTCGCGACGGCGTGGGTTACATACCTTCCAGGTGGAAGGTATAGGGTTTAGGGTTTAGGGTTTAGGGTTTAGGGTTTAGGGTTTAGGGCTTAGGGTTTAGGGTTTAGGGTTTAGGGTGGCAGAGGTTGGGATGTTCCCCCTTATACTAGCAGTCCTTAGTAGGCATTGTAGTACCCCCCGTCCCCCTCCCATTAGTCCCGACTAAGGACGGTGAGCATAAGGGGGAACATCCAAAGGCTGAGGGCACTTAGGATTTAGGTTTTTTTTTGAAAGTGGGTCGGACTTTTGCATATTGCCTCCATCCACCCCTTACGAGGCGCTCACTGAACTGAAAGAGCTCCCCACTCACAAGTCGACCGAAGATAGGGCTTAGGGTTTAGGGTTTAGGGTTTAGGGTTTCGTATCTTGAACGCTGGCCTCCAGCAGTAGTACCGGACCCAGTCAGCGCCGTGACCATGGGTGATGTCCGGCAGAATGCCGCGGCGGCCCCATGAGAGGTTCTGCATCTGCCAGCACTGTCAGATGACAAATTCGGGGCACTCTTTTTCAAATTGCCCCCCCCCCCCCTAAACCCTAAACCCCAAAACCCCTACACCCTAAACCCCCTTACAGTAAACGCAAAAAGGTTGGAACGTCCTCATCCCCAAACGCCAAAAAGGCAGACTAAAGGGAACCGCGGCTCTAAGCATCCTTAAACGATGTTCCAACTTTCTGGAGTTTACTGTGGTTTTATTTACATGCACAAAAACACAAACACAATTCTAAAGCAGAGCACCCATTTTGCTTCGATGACCCTACATCCCCCTCGCAGGTTCGGGGTGTAGCGGTTTAGGGTTTAGGGCTTGTGAGGGTTCCCCGGAACTTACTCGATGGCGCACGGGATTCACGCACTTGGGGTGAATTCCTGAGGGCCGCTCACCCTAAACCCTACAAGCCCTCAACCCCCGATGCTGAGCCGAGGTCCCATGAGTAGGCCTAAACCCTAAACCCTAAACCCTAAACCCTAAACCCTAAACCCTAAACCTAAACCCTGAACCCTTAACCCTAAACCCGAAACCCTAAAACACACATGCGCCTCCAGGAGCACCCAGGGCACACAGAGATAGATGCTGTAGCAGATGGCTCCTGGTTTGAGGGGGGGGTGGGGGGGG